TGTCCTTGTGGGTGCCACATGGTTTGGTGGTCCACAGCTTCCCCCGTCCTCATCTTCCCCTCCCCCCAGCAAGCCTAGTTTAAAGCCCGCCGGAGGAGATCCGCCAACCTAGAAGAAAACACACGCTTACCTTTGGGGGACAGGTGAAGCCCGTCCCAACTGAGCATGTCCCTCGTCGTAATGTGCGGGTCGTTGTCCAGGAAGCCGAAGCCTGCCTCGAGACACCATTGCCGAAGCCGCCAGTTGGTCTCTCTGATGCAGTTCTCATGCAGCAGCCAGTATGTTCAAGGGGCTGAAAACTTCTCCAATCCAAGTGTTTGCTCTCATCCTCAGCGGTAAACAAGCTAAATTCTGCTGTCACACAGTCATTACTCCCACTGAAATTAATTCTTCTCTTGTTCTTGTTTATGTGACTGTCGTTTCTAGTATCCTTTGGGACCTGCATGCAGGAGACTGAATATAATTTGGCCTGCCACCTCTAAAAACTGCAGGATTGTCCCCTGGAGGTGCAGCTTGGTAACAGCATTGTCATCAGTCGATTTATAGGAGGATCCAATTTAGATTTTTTTTAAATAAACCCTAAATCTGGGTTTAAAGCTACATTTTTCAATATAAAGGTTTAAGCATTAATTTAAACATGAAACAATGTTTGGCCATAGCCTTAAATGTTTTCAAAGAAAAGCTGATAATCAAAGGAGAAATGGGATCATTATTAGTGTTTGCATTGTGATAGCACCCAGACCATGCACCAGAAGTGGGGCCACATCACTCAAGGTGCTGTGCACACTCACACGGATATAGAGTTCTCCCCCAAAAGGATTTTCCATTGTTTTGACTGGTATTGTACATCAATCTCCCTAAGTACAGGGCACCCATATGTGTTACAACACCCATGCCTTCTTCAGATCCTGATACTGAAATGTTATTCTTTCACTAGTGCTAGTTTTAAAACTAGGCTGAAATTCAGCTAAACTCTTCAGCATGTACTTACTTTAATAACTTGAGGGCAATCTTTGGGTTGCAGTGACATATACAATGGCATTTTGGTTCACAACTGACGTTACCAGAGACTACAGGAATGCAAACAGTAATCGATAATGAGATTACACAGTGCTTAATGTTAAACCATCAGAAAAGCCTAATTTCTTGAGGGAGATGCAGAACAGGATTAGACTAACAACAGTATCCAGACTTACTGCTAGGGATAGGCATTAACTCTAAATCACAGACAGCTCTTTATGATAATGTTTTACTTTTTAAATTACCCGGCAGGTAGATAATGGGTAAGGCATTTCCTCCTGCCTTGCTGCTAAACAATACATGTATTTATGATGCAAAGGATGAAAAGTTACAATTTCTATTCCCTTTTTGGCCTATTCCAGAACATTGCTCAATCATCTGCCTCAAGCGATGAAGGCATTTCTGAAGATGCCTTTATAACCAGAGAGAGAGAGTTAGCCTGAAGTCAGTCAGAAATCAGGATAAAGGTGCACCTTGTAGACTAACTGAACTAAAGATACATAAGCAGCTGATGAAGTGAGCTGTTGCTCATGAAAACTCATGTATCCCCGATTCAGTTAATCTATAAAATACACGTCTACCCTCCCTTGTACTTGCCTTGATAATGGCCAATAGTGAAGCATGAAAGCACTTACAGGAAGACAATTGAAAGAAGAAATCATCTCTGTAAGTGGGTTTACATTCATTCTTTCAGTTCTTATGGAAAACAGAGGCAGTTTTCATTTGGTCAGAAATTCACCTATCATTTTTAACCCTTTTCCCACTTTCCCCATTTATTAAAGAGGGGGCGTGTCTTTCTTGTTTGCTTTAATTTCTTCTGGAAGTTCAAGTGCAGGTTGACTTGGAACATGTCCGATTACACTCCCTTCACTTACAGGGCTGAAGATTTTCTTTCTTTTTAATTTTTTCCTTTTGGTAAAAAAACCTTTTCCTCCATTTTCTGCTGAAGAATAAAGAGTAACAAGTGTGTTTGGGGAAGTTAGTAGCACACTTCTAGGTGGGTCATTAAAGGATTCACATGGCTCCAGGTGGCTTTTATCTTTTTACTTCAGAAACAATCCAGATTCAGCAGAGTCATCTCTCCTTTTCTCATCCATGTGTTTTAATCAGAATGCATTTCCAGCATGACAGGTGATTGTAGGAATGACAGACACCCTGGGTTTACTGTGGTTTTTGGCAGAAATTCATCTCAAAGTGGCTCCTGATTCATACTACCTGGTGACCTGGTAAAAGACTTTTTCAGTTCCCTCTATGGCCTCAAGACTTTTTCTACTTGTTCAGAACAAAAAATAATCAGTTCTGGGTCCTTTGTGTTTTTCCTTGGCATTTTACTCCATGTGAGCTAAGCCAGTGACGTTACATGGAAAGCACCCACACCTTCCACTTTGATTTTTCTCTTGAATCCAGTTTGAGCTCCCCTAATGGAGGCTGCATAAGCAACATGGACAGGATAAATGGCAAGGCTTCCTCTCCAAGATCACACTTCACAGTTCCTCTAGAGAAGAAAAGGAACAACTCAACATCAGAAGAAAACCTACTCCCAAGTTCTCCTGGTCACCCTTGTCCTGGGGGCTTTTTATCATTGTGCTACAGGTAAGTGGAATTTTTGATACTAGAACAAAGTTCAGTTGTTCAGCTGATGTAAGCAGCTGCAGTTCCATAGAAGTCAGTGGAAAAGTCCCAATTCACATCAGCTTGAGATCTAGATTTCATAGGCAGTTGGATGCCAGTAGGAGTACCTATATCTTATGAAATCATTAGCGAATAACAGTGCAGACATAATTTAGGCTTGAATTAAGCAGGTGTAAATTGTGACACTTAAATGAGAACTACAGCTCTTAGGGCAGGGCTGAACAGAGCCAATGCTTTATGCTTACCGTGTTTATTAATGTGATTTAAAGGAAGGCAGATTTTGTTTATATAAACATCCTCTCCTGCTCCCCAGGCCCCACATCTGAAACCCTAATTCTGTTTTATAAGGGGGCTTATAGAGGCAGCAAGAGATAAGGGGGAAACAAAAACCTGTTCTCTGAGAAGTAGCCTTTAAATCCTAGAAAGTGAAGGAAAAAAAGACTATTTTAGGAACAGAAAACAATGGAAGGTACTGGCTGGCTGGCTGGCTGTTTGTCTCCGTACACATACTGCTCCCTTCTACAGGATAGTATTACAATGGCTCCTCTGTTGGGTACTGACACATTGCTAACAGCCAATGGAGATTATCCTTTATCTCAACTGGTAACACAGTGGAACTATCCAAAAGTGGAGAATTTGGCAATGTTTTTAAAAAGGGAAAAGTTAGTTTGGGTACCTCAGGCTTTACATAGGCAAAGCGAGCTGTTGTAGTGGGGGAGGCCTAATATTCAGTGGAAGGAGCTGAGTACTTTCTTTAGGTCCTGCTCCTTGGAGATCCCTCAAACTATGCATACAACAGAGACCAAAAATCCCTATTCCTACCTCTATCATCTCTAAATTGTCCTAAGCAATGAACTTCTTTGTTGCAGACACCTGCACTACAGAATGATGTCAGGAAGCAATATTTGGCCACTGTTGAGTTTCCAGAAGCAGCTTTGTCTACAAGTCTTAGTTATTATTTTGTAATCAGGACTCTGTCCTGTAGCCCAAAGATTTTCTTAATTAGCTCCTTTTCTACATCCATGTGCATGCCTGAAAATTCCCACCTTTGTAGGAGCTGAATGTCGCCAGACATTCAGATGCATTACGCTCTGTCTGGAAAGTAAATGGGAGGCTAGAATAGTTTAGAGATCCCAAAGCCAGTACATTTGACTGCAATGTCATTTATCCATTCTCTCTCTCCTCTCCTCTTCCCCCTTCACAGCACTTCCTCCTCATTTTCCTAAGGAATGTTGCTTTGCCTACACAACTAAACCTATTCATCAGTCCAAACTGGTGGCTTACTACAAGACCTTCAGTGACTGTGCCTTACAGTCTGTCACGTAAGTGCAGAACAGCCCTTCATTCCCCATTCTAGTATTACCCTGGGAAGTGCATCGCAGTGAGATGCAAGTGCAGTTGTTACTCCCCTATACAGTGACAACACTCTCTCTGCTGCAGGGCCATGTGTGTTGACAGTTTTGAGGAAGCTCCAAAATGAGGAAGTGAACCTTTCCCACCCACCCAGAATATTACAGAAACAAGAACTCTAGCAAGATCAAAATGGCAGAGGAACTGATTGGGTTGAAGAGAAACATCTCTTAATTTGTATAGAGTTGTACTCACCTGCCCCGCTGTGCTGGAGCCATAGCTAAATAGGAGACAGCCCTTCTCGTAAAGTCCTGACAGTCTAAGTAATGAGTTAGTTAACAATGAGGGAAAAGATGCAAGGGAGCAGCCTGGTGAGAGGCTATGGGGTAAAATTCGAGATTTAGCCATTTGACCAAACCCTCTTGCTTTTCCTTCTGCAGGTTAAGATTAAGGGTGGCAAAAATACCTGTGCTGACCCTTCCAAGATTTGGGTGAAGAATGGCATCAACCACTTGAACAAGAGAAAATGAAACACAGACCACCTCTGAAGACCACACAACCACTCTGTACACTATAGCCTCCCCTTGACGGGGCTTTTGTGCAGCAACATATTTATAGCTCGCTGAAATAGTTTTATAGCAGAACAGACAATCAATTCAGTGAGGAGAGACAGAGACCTGCCTGCCGAGGCCAGGAAACCCTACATAGGATGCTCCTAAAAGCATATTTTCAAAATATAATTATCCTTATGTGATGGGCTAGCTGGTAGTGATTTGGCCCAGGGGTTTTGAAAGGGAAAAAAGAGGATTGGGGGACTTGGGATTCCCTTTCCTCACCAATCAGGCCCCAGGGACTCACCCTCCATGTCCCCTGATTGGCCCCTCGGGTCACCTGGAGGGGGATAAAGGGGCAGTGCAGCTGACTCGGAGGAGACCTGCTAGGGATGATGAGGAAGGAGTTTCAAAGAGCTGGCAAGAGTTGGGCCAGCGGGGCGGGAGCAGTTGCCGCAGAAGAGCCTAAAGGAGCGGGGCCCACAGGCAGCGGTTGAGCTCTTAGTAGCACAGCCGGCAGGAGAGGCTCCCTGCTGGACTCCAGGATCCCCAGCAAGAGGCTGCAGCCAGCAGGAGAAGTTCCCTGCCTGGCTTCAGCAGAAAGCTATGCCCCCAACTCTGCTTCCAGTCTCTCCAGCAAGAGGCACGGCAGCTCAATGTGAGGCAGGGGCTTCCAGAAGGTCAAAAGCCCTAGCAGCCTGGAGCAGCCCAGCAATGGTGGCTGTGTGGTAGAGATTCTGCCTGCTATGTGGGAGACCTGAGTTCATGTTCTGGCTGGGTAAAGTAGGGGTGAGTGAAGTGACAGGGAAGAAGAGGGTCATTGTGTTTTCCCTCTTCCCCCCTCCAGGTACCTATGCCCTATATCTCTTGTTATCTGGTGCTTTGTATTTTGTTCATTTTATATTTTGTTAAACCTGTCTTTTGTTAACTAGATAAACACTTACAAGACAGTACAAGCTGTACCAGGTGTATTTATTAAAGCTTAAATTATATGCTCCATGTGAATGTGGCTATTCCTTATCTTCTCAGGGTAACATGGATCAGGTCAACAGTATTCATATACATTGGCATGTATGGGATCTAGATGCAGCATTTTGTCTGGCAGCAGAAACATGGAGTCTCCTTTTAGTTCACCATAAGGATCCAGCTGTGACCACCAGTAAAGTAGTGTGCTGCAGTGTCTGGCACAGATAATACTGTGGTTAGAGAGGGTAAACTATGGGCTAAGTAATAAACCAAAAGAGCTGCATGGGCAATTCCTTTGGGCATATCCATGTAACCCAGTGATAGGCGAGTAGCCCCCGCAGACAAGCTGGCACTCCCAAACAGAAATCATTGTAATCAGCATAACATGCTGCAGCTTCCCGCATCTCAACTCCATCTTCCACCCAAAAACAGGGAGGACTTCAACTTGAGCAGCACATCTGTTGGGAGTAGCCACACTGTAATGGAATAGGACCTGCATTGTGCAGACCCTGAAATGGTTTAACTTTGAACCACATAACGAGTGCTTTAATCCATCCATCCAAAGGTGGTAATATGCGGATAATCCAGGGGTTAAGAGCGCCAGGACTTGCCTAAAATTAATGTGTAACAAGGCCCCAACACCAGATTTTCCAACCTTTCTGCATCTGTTTCTTAGGCCTGTAATGAGCCCAACTTTTTTTGCTGCAACTCTAAATTGGCCACCAACAGGACCTCCTGACTCGGCACTGCAGGGGCTTCTGGGAGCAGAGTGTGGTGGCAGCGGCCTGGGGGTGGGGGAGCCACCGTTGCCTCCTTTGTGTGAGGCGGCCCTAACCCGCCCTCCTTCCACTCCCAAGCTGCATGTGTGTGCGTGTGTGTACAGGCCCTTTGTGACCCTACTGAGGATCCCCTGTGACCCTGATTTGGGTTGCACCCCGAGATGGGGAATCAATGCATTATTCTTTGATAAGGACTTGATCAACATTCTCTTTATAACAACCCCTTGTGTATTTAAAGACTCTCATCAAATGTCCCTTCAGCCTTCTATTTCCCAGTCTGAATAAGGGCCTTGTTACACCTTACATTGTGAGCCACACAAACGTTGATCAGCTTAGTGTTAGCTCAGAGTTTGGAGCAGTCACACCTTAAAGCTAAGGACCTTCTCTGATTGTCCCCCATCTGCACAGCTGTGACTTGCTACTAGAGGTCTTAATTCCTGGACTGGGAGGGAGCTGGAGCCTGGGGGAAATAGAAAAGCTGGGCTTCCAGTTCCTGGGCTGAGGCTGTGAGAGCCTGTCAAGCTCCTGTTCAATTTGAATGGAGAGATGCTTCTGCTCTGCACTTAGCCCTTCCACCACCTTGACCTTTACAACTCCTCTTCTAGCTTAGATCTGCTCAGACCCCCTGGCACAGCCCCAATATCAGCGTCTCCTGCCCCTCATAAGATCCTTCCATCCCCATCCTAGCACTCTTATCTTTAGCAGAATTACAGAGATCTGTGCACTGGCTGCCCCCACCCCCCAGCACAGTTTGGGACCAATTGCAAGGGGCCGGAGGGTGGCGGGGGTGGCTTTGTGATGTATCTGTGTGAAGACAATGGATGAGACAGAAGAGGGGAGTCGGGTTGAGGGAGCACCCCAATCTCAATCCCCAGTCTGGCTTGTGCTCATCCCACCAAGAGCTCTGAAGCCTGGCAAGCCTTGCCTGCGGGAGGCAGGGGGAAGCTATGGGGAAGGTGGCAGGGAGCAGGCTTAATGTGGAAAGGCCCCTAATAAAAGATGTGAAAAAGGGTAGAGCCTGGGGGAAATCAAGACCCTACAGAAACCATAACCCTTTGATTCCCAACCTCCCCAGCATAGTTTGAGAGCCCAATCCAACCCCAATCCTTGTTTCCCCCCATTCCCATGGCTCCCACTCCCAGATTGGGATCTGCATCTTGAGATACTGGAGGACTTCAACCTGAGCAGCATCTGTGGGTAGTAGTCACACCATAATGGAACAGGACCCGTGTTGTGCAGATCTGAAATAGTATAACTTTGAACCACATATTGAGTGCTTTAATCCATTTAAAGGTAGTAATATGCAGATAACCCAAGGGTTAAGAGCTCCAGGACTCGCCTAAAATTAAACGTGCAACAAGGTGCCAACAGCAGATTTTCCAACCTTTCTGGATCTGTTTCTTAGACCTCTAATCATTTTGGTTATACTGCTCTAGACTCATTTCAATTTGTCCATAACTTTTTTGAAGTCCAGTGCCCATAACTAGACTCATTACTTCCTGTGAGGCTTCACCAAAGCTGAATGGAGTGGAAGAATTACTTTCTGGATTTGCAGCAAGACTATACTATTGACTCATATTCAGCTTGCAGTCCAGGGTAATCCCCAGTCTTCTTCTCAGTATGTCAGTCTAACTAGTCACTTCCCAGTTTGTGTTTAGGCCTCTGTTTTTTCTCTCAGTTGCAGCACTTTGCACTTGTTCTTCCTGAATTTCCACCAATTTATTTCTTATTATTCCTCCAACATTTTCATTTTGAATCCAAATCCTACCTTCCAAAAATGTCTGTGATGACACCAAGCTTGGTGTCACCTGTAAATTCACTGTTCATGCACTCTATCATTCAAGATATTATTGAAGATATTGTACGCTATTTGAGCTAAGACAGCTTCTGGGGCAACCCAGCCAATTCCTTGAGTGCTGTAGGAGGAAACTCATCCACTCCTGCCAATTTAAAAACAAAACAAAAAAAAACAACATTAAGTAATCTCTACACTGTTCCTTCTCTGCCCTAGTAATCTCTTATTTTACTCCCATATTCTCCCTGCTAACTGCTTGTCAGTCAAACATTTTTGAAGAAGGAAGCAAAGAAAAAAAAAAAAAAAAAAAGCATTAAAACTTCAACCTTCTTGCATCATCCATTGCCAGATTTCCATTCTCTTTGCAATGGCACAGACCCCATATTGCCTTTTATATTCATTGAGACAGGATCTCGATTTCTGCCTGACCTTTTTGATTTTCTCTTTACATCCCTGTGCCATATCCTCACCTTTAGAAATATGACTGATTGAGATCCTACTTTTTATGCGATTTCTTTCTAAAGTTTCAAGTCACTAAAAGGTTCACTGTTAACTAACTGGGTCTCTTGCTGCACTTGAGGTCTCTAAAGTACAACCAACCTCCCTGGAATCCTTTACCCCTCAAACTTGCCTCCTAGGTCATTAATGAAAATATCGAAGAAGGTCAGTTCCAAGACTGTGACCCTTGATGAATTCCACTAGTAACTTTCCCCTAGGGCAACAGGTCCCCTGTCATCAAAACCTGTTTTCTTAGCTTTAGCTACTTTCCAACCCACCTAAGAGTCATCCAAATCCCTATCTTCTCCAGCTTCACTAAGAATTTTCCACATGGCACCTGACCAAATACTTAGCTGAAGTCCAGAGAGACAAGATGTACTGTACAGAAGTTGTTCAGAAATCTGTTATGCTATCAAAGAAACACAGAGGATTAGTTAGGCATGAGCTACTGTAGGTGAACCTCTGAAACATCTTTATCTTAAATTTTCACTGATATCCAAGATTTGCATTGCTCTCTCTCAATATATATTCTAAAACCTTGCAGTTTTGAAGTCAGACGAATGCGCCTGTAGCTGTTATATCCCCCTACCCCAATTCATAAGTTCAGATATTACATTGGCTGTAATCCAATTGAACGTTAGTGGCCAGGATAAACAAGTGCATTAAAAAAAAAAAAAAAAAAAAAAAAAAAAAAATTAAAAACACACTTTGGTCCCAGAGCCAGCGTTTTCAATATTCTGGGACAGGGGGATCCAGATTCCTCTCAGTGGGCTGAGTTCCGAGCTTTGCTTTCATCTCAGAGGTGGTGGTTTTCATTTAGATATCCACATGCCCATCAGGCATCATTATTTTTCCCAATGACAACTTCACAGTGCATACTGAGGTCTATGGCATAGTAATGGTTTAGTCCACAGATGCTAAAAAAATTCTCTATTCCCTACCCCGGCCTCAGTGCACAGTATCTGCAGTTGTTTTTTTGCTTTAAATTTAATCTCCAAGTCTAAGCATGGCTTGACTCGGTCACTATCCCTTCATCATTACACACCCCTCACCTATTGGACACTGGATTCTTTGGTTTTTTGTTTTTTTTTTGTTTTTTTGTTTTTTTTTGTGGTCATGAATGATTGTTTCCGTTCCATGTTGGAAATGAAAGAATAACAAAGTCAACTTTAATTACAGTAGCTATGTACTGGGGGTGGGATTTATAACTCTCCGTAGGACCTTTTTTTTTTAAACTTCAGGAGCAATCCCGATTCAGATAAATTTATCACGTTCCAGTTTGTATGTTTTACTAAAAGTGCATTTCCAGCCCAAAAAGAAAACTTCAGAAACAACATTATGGGGCTCCCTTCATCACTGGCAGCAATTTAGTCTCAAAGTGGCTCCTGGTTCCTTGTAATTAGCATTCTTGATGAAAGGCATTTTTAGTTCCCCTAAAGAGCTAATGCCAGATTGCCTCATGCCTTTTGCTACTCACTCAGAATGGAGAACCTGCTGGTTCGGTTTTCCCCGTGCTTCTACCAAGAACCTCACTTTCTTGTGAGCTGGTGATGGCAGACATTGCAGAAAAGCTTCATGAGCTTTCTAGTCAGAATTTTCTCTTGAACCAGTTGACATTCTCCAAAGGGCAGCATGGAGTGTTCTCATACCTGGTCACTGGGTCCAGTCTAACACAAGCAATAACAGCTAGACTGCCCTGAATGTCTCTAATAAAAACCCTTTCACTGCCCCAGAACTCAGCCATGTGGTGGTTCTTGTAATCTCTCTACAGGGACAATTTGCTACAGGTTTCTTCCAGCCCCCAAATCCCAGAGGTCAGTGGCAGCTCTGGGAACAGAAACAAAGTCTTCTGATTCCTGGATTGGTGCCCATTTAAGTTGGCCACAGGGCCATCCTGTGGCATATGGGGCTTTAAGCACTTGCAAGAAGTGCAGAAGAATTACACAGTACCACAGATCGATCCATCTGCACAAGAGCAAATGGAACTCTCTCCTGCCATCCCCTAGTCTTTCATCACATCCATATATTCAGGGACAATTTCTTGAGGGGAAAAAAAAAAAAAAAAAAAAAAAAGTGCACATGAACAAGTAGACCCCCAGGTTACTTCAAACCAAGGACAACTGACTTGCTTCCTAGGCAATCTCACCCCATTTTACCTGCATAAATCAGGTAAGCAAGCTGAGAGTTTTGGTCATTGTGTACCTGCTCCTCATAAGAGGGAAGTAATACTTCCCTAAATGCTGGAAATGCCAAAGTGCAGTGCACCTTTGCTGGAAACCTTAATGCTTGGAACAGACTACGCAATCCAAACAGTCTGTCCAGATGATAGGAGGGGCCTACGATTAGGGACCTATTGAACTTGTAGTTTCATGGATTTTGTGGGGAAAAAAAAAACAAACAAAAAAAACATGAAATCCAGCATTGCCCATGAAAGTGGATTTTTGTGCAAAAAAACCCCCAAAAACAAACAAACAAAAAAACCTAACTAAAAATAAAATGCTGCCTCTCCAAAAAAGAGGGGGGGGGGGGCGGGGGCAGTCACAAAAAGCCCTGAAAAATGGCAGCTGGCTTCACAGTCTGCTTATGAAGTTGGCTGGCCACCTCCTCGAGTTAGGTAGACCCTTATTTATTAAGCTGAGCACGGCTGACAGCATTTGCAGTGGTAGGAAGATGGCATGAATGAGATGAGCTGATAACTAAAAAGCCCAGGTCCACATAAGTGCCACCCCATCAGTCCTGAGCTTGAGGTGTGCAAGCCTTATTCCAAGGTGTTGATATTGATTGCTCTTACTTAAAAAGATAATACACAAGACTGGAAGAGAGTGTGTCCTAAGCACCGAGCACGGACCATTGATTGCACATATTATGCAATCCCTTTTATAACTATATCATAAACTAAGACAAGCAAGGATTTTGCCTCAAACAAGACTATGAGATGACATACTGGGTCAGACCACAGGTCCATCTAGCTCAGTATCAGAGAAGGAAGGTGTTCAAAGTATGGGCACACCATGAATTTACACAGTAGCATAATGCAATTGTCTATTTTGTTTTGAATTCCCTAAACTATTACACCATATTGGTGGCTTACCACCAAGCTGTGATTGACAAATACAGCCGGATCTCTCTCTTCCTCTTCAGTTTACATCTGGAAAAGCTTAGTGCAGAAGTTACAGTGATCTGTCCCCAAGTATATGATCTTGCCACCTGTGATATTAAATTCTGTCTCATTTCTACATCTCTGTTTTCCATTTTTCCTTTCTATAGCTCCAGTCCTTAAGATCACTTGTTTCTTTCTGCCCAAGTATCCCGGTCCTTTTCTGTACAGCAGATGATTCCCAGCTTTGTGTTACCAGAGCACAATACCCACATTCCCACTTGTTACCCTTACTTCTGCCCATCATCAATATTATACCCAGTATTGAAAACTGAAGCACAGTATACAATTAGTCTTCGTGACAGTCACCTATTATTTTAACTACTTCCACAGCCTCACTGTATAGAGCCCCCGTTTCTTACCATGCTCCTGTTTAGAGGGTCTTTGTTGTTTGCTTTCATTTCTTCTGTGAGGTGAAGTGCTGGTCAGTTTGGGACAAATTTCACTTTTCACTAGACTCCCTTAACCTACAGGAGTTGGTTTTTTCCCTGGAAAGGAATCCTTTTGCCATTTTCTCTTGGAGACTAAAGAATAATTAATATATTTGGGCTGGTAGTAGCTATACCTTTGGGTGGGACATTAAAAATTCCCCTGGTCTCTAGATGATTTTTATTTTTCCCTTTTCACTTAAAAAAACCCCCCACACTGGACTCAGAGTCATTTCTCTCTTTCAGTTTGTATATTTTAATAAGAAAGCATCTCCAGCTTGACAAGTGACTGCAGTTGGGGTTCCCAAGTGTTTTGGCAGGAATTCCATCTCAAATGGCTCCTGGTTCATTGTAGCTAGTGACCGGATAGGGGGAACTTAAAACATCCCTTAAGGGCAGGCACCAGGCAGTATCAGGATTTTCACAACTTACTCAGCATGACAACATACCAGTTCCGGATTTCTTGTGAACTAAGCACAGTCATGTTACATGAAAAGCTCCTATACCTTCCATTTTGATTTTTTCAAGTTCCCTACAGGGAGAATCCATAAACAGCATGGGCAGGATAAATGGCAGGGCTTCACCATCAAGATTTCACTTCACTGCTCCTAGGAAACAAACAAACAAAACAAAACAACAATGACAAAACAACAACTTGACATCAGAAGAAAACTCTCCCTGAAGACACCGTGAGGACAGCTCTCCTGGTTATCCTTACCTGGGTGTTTCTTATCACTGTGCTACCGGTAAGTAAAAAAATCTCAGTACAAGAGCAAAGTCTTACTGCTCAGGTGATAAAGAAACAGCTATGGTTCCATAGTGTCAGTGGGACTGTAACAGGGGGGCCTGCTCCGGGCTGATTTCACTGTGGCCTACCCACCTGTTTCTGGGCTAACCACCCACCATGCCTTGTTGTTAATTGTTTAACTGAATGTTAATAAAGCGGGAGGCTGCCCATTTCTTGCCCCGATGCCAGGGGGCCCTATCTGTGGCTTCATTCCTCCCCTACACTGAAGCCCAAGCCCCACAGATGGCATCCAGATGTTATCAATATCACCGACCCCACACTGGGCCCCCGAATCCTACTAGTTGAACCCCACTTAGATCCCTCCATTCAGGCAGCCTCTTCTGCCTTCATTCCTGGCTGCATAGCTCCCTGAGCTGCTCCTCCTTATGGGTGTGATCCCCCCAGGACCTTTGGCTACCAGCCCTGGCCCACCTCCAGGCCAGTTGGGACCCCAGGCCCTCAGCTCTTAGGCATCCTTTGCGGTGGGCCCCGGCCCTTCGACCCTTCTGGTCCTGGCCCCAGCACTGACCAGTCAGGGGATGATCAGACAGGTTCTTGAGTCTATGGCCTCACGCTCTCTTTGGGGTCCACCTTCCAGACCCTACAAAGGGGGTAACCCACCTGGTTGTGGGAGCTGGAGTTAAAGGTGGCCCGACCCACCTTTCACCGGGGTGATAACTGGCCTGGCATTTCCTGGGGGCTCCCGCGCCACTAAGAGCCCCACCAGGCCACCCACTCCCGGCAGGGTGCAGCTTTAGGTCATACCCAGGACCAGGAGCCTCCTGACCATCCCCTACAGCTCCTCCCTTAACTCCAGATGATACCAACAGCCATGCGGCCAGGTGATGTTTTTGCCTGGCCTTCCAGCAGCAAAATGCCCTGTTTACACAGGCAGCCCTAATTGGGCACCTGCCGGCTGCAGTCTTCTGGCCCTTAAAGTGGCAGGCACAAATAGTGCCCTGCCACAGGGACCATCCTAATTTACATTAACTGAGGATCTGGATGTAGCAGTCTGGTATGTTCCAGTAGAGGTAGTTGGGAGCGGAAAGGACCTCAGGTAGTCATCTGGTCCAACCCCCTGCTCAAAGCAGGACCATCCCCAACTATATCATCCCAGCAAAGGCTTTGTCTACCAGCATCTTAAACCTTTAGGGGATGAGATGTGGATGGAGAGTCCACAATCGCTCTGGATAGCCTGTTCCAGTGCTTTAGTACCCTCCTAGCACAAATCTCCTTTTGTCCGGCCCAAACCTGAAGTTTCCAACTAACTTGTTGCTTCTGAAAATGTCAGCCAAATTCTGTCCCTTTGGAGAATTCCAGCCTATTCCCCTTTCAGATCAAGAAGAATGTGTTACTGTTCACAGGCCGTATTACAATACACACAGAGGAACTGTCAGGAGCAGTGGGAACAGTACAGGTGCAAATGCCAGGCAGATAGCCAGTACCTTATTCTAACTGGACACTGCTGAGACTCTTCTGTATTTCTATAACTCGATCTTATTCCTTCACTTCCTAGGATTTAAAAGCACCTCTCAAGGAAAAAAAAGATGTTTTCTCCTCGTATTCATTTTGCAGCTCTGTAGCCCCTGTTGGATGTTATAACTATGTCCGTGATATTAAAAATGTTCATCCTAATCTCAAAAGTCAGAAGCAGGATTAGGCCTTCAGATTTGTGGCCTGGGTAACAGGAAGTGACATTGAAGAAACTACACCATGTTTACATCCAGGTTACATTAATAAAAGCAGAAGTAATCCAGCATGAACTATGTTCAGCCTTGCCATAAGCGTTATTGCTCCCACTTATTAAAAAGCACGCAAAAGCACCATTTATACTTTTTTAGTTCATGTCTGAAATGTCTTTACTGTGCTTCTCTAGTGACTTCCCAGGATACAATTCTTGGTTTGTACAGAAGCCTACTTTTCTTTGATTCCAAGGGAGATATTGTAACAGGGCCTAATATTCAGTGAGAGGGGATGGAGCACTTTTTCCAAGTCAGACTTTTTGGAGGTATCTCAAATTGTGCAGCAGCTAGCAACAGAAATACTGAAAAAAAAAAAAACCCAACCAAACAACAAAACCCCCAAAACCCCACTCAGCCTGTGGAAACTGACCATCTCTCAGACCCAAGCTTAACATAACTGAATTTTTTTGTTGGACATCCTGCACCATATAACAGTGTCAGTCAGGGGCCAGGTGGTCACAGGGATGTCCCTAGTGGCAGCTTTGTCCTTAAGTTTCAATTACTCTTTTGCAAGCAAGTCTCCTGTCTTTCAGTCTAAAGGACAAGAAGTGCTTAAATTAATTCCTCTTAAGACCTCTCATGCAGATATGCATATACAGGAGAGTACGTGGGAGGCTAGAGCCATTCAGATCCCAACGCCAATTCAAATTGAATGCCAATGGAGTTTATTCTTTCATTCACACTCTCTCCTTTACAGCAATATTTACATTCCTAAGGAGCGTTGCTTTGACTACATGACTAAACCTATCCATCGTTCTAGACTGGTGAATTACTACCAGACCCCCAGTGACTGTGTCTAGCAAGCTGTTGCGTAAGTGCAGAACATTCTTTATTTCATATTCTAATACCACCCTGGGAAGCGTACCACAGTGGGGTGCCAAGGCTGTTGTCACCCTCACCCAGTAACGCACACCTCTCTTTGAGGGGGGGGGGGGGTACATGCCAACTTGGAGTAGGCTCCAAAATGAGGAAATGAACCATTATCAATCTCTGACAAAGAATTGTGAAAGCAAGTATTTTAGCAAGATTGAAGCAGGCAATGAAATTATTGGGTTGAAGAGAAAAATCTCTTAATAATTCACACTAGAATTGTGCTTAACTGCTGTACTGTGCTGGGAGCAATACATAAATAGCCCCTGTTCCAGTTTTCTGGCAATTTAAATAACATGAATCAGTTAACAATGAGGAAGAAATGCCAGGAAACTGCCTGATGAGGTTTTATCCCACAGGATAAAACTACTGATGTGCCCTTGGACTGAACCCTCTTGCTTTCCCTCTGCAGGTTTGATACTAAAAGTGGCCACAAGATTTGTGCTGACCCTTCCAAGATTTGGGTGAAGAATGGCGTCAAAGACTTGGAGAACAAAAAATAAAACACCTTGCCTCTGAAAACCACAGATACACCCCTTGCTGCACAACCTCTCTGAATACTTCTGCTACCTCTTGAAAGAAAAATTGTGCAGCAACATTATTTTTTATAACTGACTGAAATAGTTTTGTTGTGCAACAGACAGGCTTCATTGGAGAGAGATAGAGAGAATGCACAAGATGTATTGGGTATATGTATTAAATCTTGATTTATACACTGCCTATGAATATATTTCCTAATTCTCCAAAAGTGACATTAACTAGGTTAATAATGTGGGGAAAACTTACAGCAAAACAGAAAGTTTGTGAACGCTGTGATGCTGGGGTGCATGGTGTGGCCCTCCACGTGCTCAGCGATGAACCTGGAAGTGGACCGGAAGTATTTCTGCCCCCCCAGCTCAGCAATTGGTTGCAGGGGGACCCCAGGTGCCTCCCCGCCCCAAACCCAGGAGGCACCAGTCTCCAGATGGTACTGGTGTTGTCGTGCTTAGGCCCCATTATAAGTCGCCCCCTTGTCCTCACTGGGCTCTCCGCAGCCCGTGTCTCTGCACCCTCTCTGGCACCGGACTCTCCGCAGCCCATGTCTCTGCACCCTCTCTGCCACTGCAAAGTGCTGTGCCCTCTCTGGCACCGGGGTCCCCACACTGCCATGGGTCCCCAATGAGGCCTCCTCCTTCCCCAAATAGCCTCACCGAAACCACCAGTCTTATAAAACAACAAACAAAACATAAGCCCCTGGGCTATAACATAACACAAGCTACATAAGGTGTGCTCGGCCCCTCTACGTTACCCGGAGCAGAACTTAGGCCTCTTCCCTTCACATGCTTCAAGAGACCTCCTACTCCCTTGGCTGCCAGCAGAGAACTACCTCTTAGTTCCCATCCTGGGGTTTATATGGACCCAGGGCCCTGCCAGGTGACCAGGTGCAGGTGCAGGCTAATTTCCATATCAGCTGGTTGCCATGGCAGCCCGCACCTGGGCTCCTGTCTGGCTCTTTGGGCTCTTCCCAGGCAGTTTCTGGTCTTTTAGGATCAGGAGCCTAAGTGCCCTGTGACACTGAATCTTTTCAAATCTCTCCAGAGGGTTCCAATTCGATTCAGAGAGATTAAAGGGTCCTCTGATTCAATTCGGATTTGGAGATTTGGCCACCGAATTCGGCCAAATCTTTGTTGAATTGAATCAGGGACCGAAGATTCACCTAGCCCTATCAGAAACCTTTTTCTGCTTTCCAGGCTAAATGTGGCAACACTGAGCCATGATAATAAGAGTCTTTCCTTTCTGTGGACTTTTTCCCTGGGTGCATTCCTTGTGGGCAGACCTATCCCATCCCATCATCTCTTCTGCTAATTTAGACAAATCAATCTCTGTTAGTCTCCTTTTGTATGAAGGACTCTGCTTTGGCTCAATTGCAATAGCAGCATCAGCTGAACTTGAATTTCATAGATTTCATAGACGTTAGGGCTGGAAGGGACCTCGAAGATCATCAAGCCCAGCCCCCTGCCTCAGGGGCAGGAAGTCAGCTAGGGTCAAAGGATCCCAGCAAGATAAGCATCCATTAATTAATTAATTAATTAATCCTTTGTGAACATTTGTGCCCAGAACTGTACACAATAATGCAGGTATGGTCTCACCAAAGGGTTTTTCAATGGCATTCATGAGACCTAGAGAGACAATCAATATCTCTATTTCAAACACCCCGCCTGATGCACTCTAGTATTCCATTTGCCTTTTTAATGACTGCATTACACTGCAAATTCATAACCATCTTGTGATGGACAAATAGGCCAAACTTTTCTTTTCTTGTTCCTCTTGATGAGCTCCAATTTGTAACAGATACTCTTAT